TCCCGAGTGCGGCCTTCTGTCTGGGGGGAAAACCAATCGTGACATGCCTGGCATCTCTTCCTTTTTACTTCCGTGGCAGCGGCGGAGGAGCCATCTTGGTAGAGCCCGTGTCCAGCCTCTTGGCTGCCGGAAGTTGAGGCACCCTAAAGCCGCCGCCGCTGCTGCCGCTCCCGCCGTTCAAAGACGACCCCATGCCGCCCACCTGCGTAAACGTGCCGCCCTTGAACCATCGATCCTCTTCCGCCTTGCGCTTCTTGCTGAGCTCCGCCTGCACCTTTGGATCGACGAGCTCCAGGCCCTGCACCGGCGTGAAGGCGAGCGACGAGGCGGTGCCCGTGCCCGTGGCCGAACCAAGCGTGGTTCCCACCCCGGACGCGCGGAGGCCCTTTCCGCGGAGATCGATGCTGCCGGGTGTTTGGCCAAAGCCCCCGATGGAAGAGGCAGCGCCGCCGCCGCCTCCCCAGCCTTTGCTCTTGGCGCTCAGCTTTGCTCGCGTGCGCTGGTCGATCTGGACGCCTCGGATGCGGCCGTCGTTTTGCTGGCCCAGCATTCCCATGCCGATTGTGCCCTCGCCGGTCCCGTAGCCGAATTCCTTCTCCTCTTTGCCAAACGCGACTCGGTTCTGGGCTTTGCGCAGCTCCGTCGTGGCCACGGCTTCCTTGGCTTTCCTGACACGTCGGCCGCCTCGTTTTCGGGACGGTTTGTCGCCGGGAACGGGGAGCGCGCGCTGGCCCTTGTTGGGCGGTGGCTCGGTGAGCTTCTCCAGTCGTTCGAGACACTGCGACTTGAGCTGGTCGCCCGTCGAGCCGTCGGGCGTGGAGTGGATGCGATCTACCCGTGCGGCCAGGGCCAGCTTGGCCGCCACGATTCTCATGGCCTGCTTCTTCAGATCGTTCGGGATGCCGCGGATCATGTCCGAGTTGTAGAGATAGCCCTGCTGCCGGATGCCGACATTGGTTGCCAGACCGGCCTGTCTCTTCTTGGAGCCCCACGAGGGGATGTTGCAAGCCGGCGTCTTGGACAGGCCCGTCAGGCCGCCGGCCGCGTTCAGCAGCTGGGCGGCCGTCAGAGAGCCAATGAGTGCTGTCAGATTCGGCGCAAAGATGTTCATGCGCGACTGGACGTATTCGGTCAGGGTCTGCTTCGCCTTGTGCAGCGCCACCATCATGGCGGACGCCTGGCGCACCCTGACGAGCTCCTCCGCGCTGAGTTCGTGGCCCTTGGACGTCGTTGCCTCGACCGTGACGACCATGAGCGATGGCCCGTCCAGGACGGCCTTGAGGCCCATCTTCATGGGGTTATCCGTCGACGTCTGCAGGGCTTTGATGCTCTCCGAGTCCATGGGTCCGTTGCCGATGATGGACACCACCTTGGCGTATTCCAGCGGCGTCGTGACCAGTCGCTCGAGTTCGGGAAATCGCGTCGAGTAGTGGTCGCGGATGAACTTGTGCACGAGGGCGACTTCTCCATCGATCATGGTTGACAGACTGTTGGACTGCGTCAGGAGGTGGTATTCCGGGTGGTCCTCGATGTTGCCGACGTTTGTCGTCGTCTGCGTAGATGCTTGCGACCGGTAATGCGCAATTTTCTATATGTAAAACCGGTTCGGTCCCCCACACGGTCAGGGCTGTTGTACTCGTCAAGTTCGAATGTAAACGAAATCGTCTTCATCGAAAACAAAGATGACGCGGCCGTGGCCTTCGTCGTGGGATGGGAAGAAGAAGAGGAAGGGGGGAAAGGGAGAAACTAACCTCCAGTACCGGCTCCAATGTTGCCATCAAGCTGGCCACACTGCGGACATCTTTGACTGCGCCGAGCTGCATCTTCTCGACCTTTGCCTTGGTCGCCTCCGTGTCCTCGGCATCCTTGGGGTCGCCACCTTCAGCTTCATCCGACTCGCCGTCGTTTTCGCCGTCAAGATCCATGGCGTCGAGGTCTCCATTCCGATGCGGTGCATCGCGCACCAAGCCGTCGTTTTCTTGCTCCTCTGCTTCGTCCCCTGAGCTTCCAAAGTCGTTGAGCAGCTCGTCCGCGACCGTAGACATGGCGGCGTCTGGATACGGGCCTCGCGATGCTGTTCTGTATCCTTCTGGGAGTGCGCGCGCAGCGGGTGGGAAGGCGTGTGGGATGTTGCGTTATTCAGCGAGTGTAAAAGAAATCTGGATGATGCAAACAAATTCTGCTCCCAACGCACGCAAGGCTTGGACTGCGAGGCCAGGATGGAGCCGTATCTATCGAGTAGAGGGTGGATGGTCCGTGCACTCCCGGGTGGAGACAAACTCTGCGCCTCGTCGTCCACCTCCCGTCCTTTTTTTTTTTTAGGCGCGCTTTTTCCGCCCGCGCTTGAGCTCGCTCTCCTCAACAAGTCTGCGCGAAGGCGTCCCAGCACTTGCGAGCACTTGCGGCCGTCATCACACTCCTTCCATCATGGAGTCTTCCAGAGGGCCCCCGAGGGTCAAGAACAAGGGCGCCGCGCCGGTTCAAATCAGCGCCGAACAGCTCCTCCGCGAGGCCGTCGACCGTCAAGAAGTCGGCATCCAGGCGCCGACCCAGAAATTCTCCGACCTCGAAGAGCTCCACGAGTACCAGGGCAGGAAGCGCAGGGGGTTCGAGGACTACGTGCGCCGCAACCGCGTCAACCTCAAGAACTGGACCCAGTATGCGCAATGGGAGCTGGAGCAAAAGGAGTTTGCCCGGGCCAGATCGGTCTTTGAGCGCGCCCTCGACGCTCTGCCTCACAATGTCGTGCTGTGGATCCGCTACATCGAGGCCGAGATGAAGTCGAGGAACATCAACCACGCGCGGAATCTGCTCGATCGGGCCGTCACCATCCTGCCGCGCGTGGACAAGCTGTGGTACAAATATGTGTACATGGAGGAGATGCTGGGCAACATCCCCGGCACCCGACAGGTGTTTGACCGGTGGATGCAGTGGCAGCCCGACGAGGCGGCCTGGAGTGCGTACATCAAGCTGGAGAAGAGATATGGCGAGTTCGACAGGGCCCGCGCCATTTTCCACGACTTCACCGTCGTCCACCCCGAACCTCGCAACTGGATCAAGTGGGCCAAGTTCGAGGAGGAGTACGGCACGAGCGAGCTGGTGCGTGAGGTGTTTGGGAGTGCCGTTGAGGCCCTGGGCGACGAGTTTGTGGACGAACGGCTCTTCATCGCCTATGCGCGCTTCGAGTCCAAGCTGAAGGAATACGAGCGAGCCCGCGCCATTTACAAATACGCGCTGGATCGTCTGCCGCGCTCCAAGTCCATGTTGCTGCACAAGGCCTATACGACGTTTGAGAAACAGTTTGGCGACAAGGACGGGGTGGAGGATGTTGTGCTGTCGAAGCGAAGGAGGCACTATGAAGAGCAGGTCAAGGAGAACCCCAAAAACTACGATGCCTGGTTCGACTACGCCGGTCTCGAGGAGTCCGGCAGGGACGCGGATCGCGTGCGAGAGGTGTACGAGAGAGCCGTGGCCCAGGTACCGCCCACGCAGGAAAAGCGGCACTGGCGACGGTACATCTATCTCTGGATCTTCTACGCCATCTGGGAAGAGCTCGAGGGCCAGGACATGGAGCGGACGCGACAAATATACAGCACCTGCCTGGGCCAAATACCGCACAAGAAATTCACCTTTGCCAAGGTCTGGCTCCTGGCCGCCCAGTTCGAGGTCCGACAGGGACAGCTGCCCGCCGCGCGGAAGCTGCTGGGCAGCGCCCTGGGCAACTGTCCCAAGGACAAGATCTTCAACGGCTACATCGACCTCGAGCGCAAGCTGTTTGAGTTTGTGCGGTGCCGCAAACTCTACGAGAAGCACATCGAGTACAACCCGGCCAACTGCCAGACGTGGATCAAATTTGCCGAGCTGGAGCGCGGCCTCGACGACCTGGACCGCACCAGGGCCATCTTCGAGCTGGCGGTCAACCAGCCGCAGCTGGACATGCCCGAGCTGCTGTGGAAGGCCTACATTGACTTTGAGGAGGAGGAAGGCGAGTACGACAGGACGCGCGAGCTGTACGAGCGACTTCTCGACAAGACGAACCACGTCAAGGTCTGGATCAGCTACGCGCACTTTGAAATCAACATCCCCGACGAGGACGAGGCCGAGGCCGACGAGGCCGACGAGGCCGCAAGGGCCGCCGAGGGAGAAGAGCAGCCCCTCAGCGAGGCGGCCAAGGCGCGCGCGCGCAAGGTATTCGAGCGCGCGCACAAGAGCATGCGCGACAAGGACCTCAAGGAGGAGCGCGTGTCCCTGCTCAACGCGTGGCTGTCGTTTGAGCGCGAGCACGGGTCCGAGCAGGACAGGGAGAGTGTGCAGAAGCAGATGCCGCGGCGGATCAAGAAGAGACGGCGTCTGGAGGACGACTCGTACGAGGAGTACTTTGACTACATCTTCCCCGCGGACGACGAGCAGGCCAAGAATCTGTCCAACATTATGGCCATGGCGCAGAAGTGGAAGCAGACGGGGGGGGATTTGGCGGCGTCGTAAAGTCGTGGTTTTGTTGGGGGAGGGGGGGGGGGGTTGTTTTTTCTGGCGTGCTTCAAACATGTTGCTTTCTTTTCTTCTTACAAACCAACATGTACGATATATAGAAACATTTTTTCTCGGAGACCATGCCGAGCGATGGGCTGTGTGATGTCTTATTTGCTTTCTTTTCCCTTTTTTTGCGTGTGTGTCTGTGTGTGTGGCAAATCCGAGGCAGCAACAGGTTCAATGAGGAGGAGCCTGCTTCGCAGATGCGGCTGGTCACCATGGATATGATTCGCAACGATGCGTACCTGCACATACGAGCAATGCCTCCCGTTCCCCGAAGTTCCCCCGGGGAGCAGACTGAAATGCCGGGACGCGAAACTCGTGCAGGAAAAGTACCGCGTGTGTTTGCGGATACTAGATACTGCGCACACGGTTCAGGGGAGGGGGAGGACAAGTGCAAGCGCGGCCGGGGATTCAGGATGGAGTTAGGTACTTATTATGATTTGAGCGATTTGAAGCTCATCAAACAAGGCCGTGTGGCTCAATGGCAGAGCGTCTGACTACGATTCATCAGTGGTACTGAGGAACACTCGCAATCAGAAGGTCGCAGGTTCGACCCCTGTCTCGGTCATGATCAAGCCGTCTCATGATGGAAAGAGTTTGATCTTTTGGATACATTCATGTTGACTGGCCTCTTTTTCTTTTTTCGTCGTTGGAATCACCGTTTCCTGTTCCCTTTTTTCTCCTGTATCCTATGGCATTTTGTCATGTGTAGCTCTGTCGAGTGCGCTGTGCTGTTCGCCGGCTGGAGCCAGAGACAGGAACAAGTTTAGTGGACAGATGATGACCAGCCTATACGCACACATACGGTGATCATACCTTGCCATACTGGACTATCCTGGTAGATGGCATGAGCAGTAAAGTCTGTCTTTCCGCCAGTGTTGGGGGAGGAAAAACAACCGTTATACATGCTCGTGTCGGACTTTGCTTTAACACCCAAAGGCTACGCAAGATGGGAACCCACATGTGCTGGTGATCCATCATCAGTCTTGCCATGTAGCAATCCAAGTCACCATAGGGTAGGTGGGCGTCCTTGGGAATACAAAAACAACAGACATCTACAGACAGACCCAGTTATGCACCCGCGAGACTAACCCCTATCAGGACAAGCAAGATACGTCACCCCCCCTTTTCCTCCCCCCTCCAAAAAAAAAAGGAAAAGCAAAAGAAAGACCAGCAAAACCTCCCGCATCCCCAAACCAATATCGCAACAAATATTCCCCCCCCCCCCTCCCCCATCATG